TCACAGTTTCTTCCATTTATAAAAGCAACCACACTTCGGAAGTGCCCGATTTAAAAAAAAAAAAATAGGGGAACACTTACTATTTTAAAAATAATCTCTTGGGCCCTTTCCACTCTAAATTTCAAATCTCAAAGGTCTCCAATAAGACATTATTCCCAAAATAGAGCTTTGCCCTGGTAAACTAGCATGTTCCAGCAGGGTGGTTTTATGGACATGGGGTCTATGTTCACAGATCTTAACACTAGTGAAAAAGAGTATGCTTCACTCTATTGGGTGGCCCAAATGCGTGTAAGTCTCCATGACTCTAAGGAAACCTGTAGGATCACAATTCCTAGATTCAGGACAGGATCTGCCATTTGGAGAGCTGAATGATCCTGCTCAATCTTCATTTCCCTCCATCTTTCCCCCGCCCTACACGTATGTACACAACATAATAGACATGAAAGCATTTGGTAAGCTGTAAAGGGCTCTACCCTTATTGTCTTGCCCCACTCTGAAGGCCTATAGCCTTTATTATCACTGCCACTCACATACTTATCACATGTAGTGTTGTCTCATGCTGTTATTTACCTATTTCACATGTATATGTCTCATCTTCCCAGCCAGACAAAGCACCTTGAGGTAAGGGCCTTGCCTTGCTCTCCTATTTCCCATAACAAAGTGCTTGTAGCATAGCACACAACTTAACGTGTCAAGTTAAGCTGATTTTCTGTAAACTGACTAGTTTTAAATCACTGGGGAATTTGTTCTCTCAAATAATCCCATAGTATATCAATCAGGAAATTCAAGGTTAAAAAAAAACACCCTAATTTAGGCTTTTGAATAAATCCAAAATTTGCAGACTAGGTTTGCTTAAAGACAGACACATCTTAGGAATATAAAGACAGCTGTCTAAGAGTTCTTATTTCTAAGGCTGTAGACACACAATCAAAAAAGCGGATGGGAGGAGGCACATGAGCAAGGCAATCCCAACTGGCTGGACGTCGTCAAAGGTAGGGGGCGAAGTCTGCAGAAATCTCCAACTCTTAAATGGTTAGTTCTTTCCCCCTGGCTGCTTCCATGTGCCAAACGCCAAATAATCCATTCTCCACTAGAAAAAAACTAGGCAACCCCTAGCTCCAGGATGCCTCAAGTGATGCCACACACACATGCACACATACACACACACACACACACACACACACACACACACACACACAGAGTCCAGGGACACCCTCCCTGAAACTGTCCCCCTATACAAAGTTCTGGGATGCTCCTTGCCATCTGTCCCTTTCCCACTGCTCCAGTAAACTTCCCAATTTGTCCCTCTACAGACCCTGGGGCATCTCCACAGAAAACCTCTCTTCCCCCATCCTGAGATGCCTACAGCCTATGCTTTCATCACCCATGACAAACCTCCCCCTAAGCTGCTCCCTCCCACAGAGCCCCAGAACGCCTACCCCAACTTCTTCCCTACACACACTACCGGAACACCCCCCTCAATCTGGCCTCCTCCTCGTAACTCTCTCCCAAACTGCTCCCTCTCATTCTGACTGCAGGCACTCCTCCAGCCAGCCTCCTCCCACTTGGATGTGGGAGGTCTCTGAAATGGCCAAGGCCTACGTCCTCTCTTGAAACTGGGGGTATCCCCACAGCTGTTCTTGTCCCTGACATGCCTAGAGCATTCTCATAGGCCATTTCTTCCCCCATAGACCTTGGACAGCTCCATAACCTGGCCCCGGGGACACAGGTGTGAGATGCCCCCACAGCCTGGCTGCTCCCAGCCAGTCTCAAAATGCTCCCACCTCCTGTCTCATCCTCTGAAGCCCCCACTGTGGACTGTCTCCACATGGTCAGACCTGAGACACCCCCATCTGCTTCTGCTCCTGAGGACCCAGTCACCCACACCGCAGCAGGTGCACGCCCTGCCATGGGAGCTCCTACAGCTGCGAGCACCCCCAGAGGCAGAGGCACCCTCCCAGCCTCGGGAATGGCTCCACCATGTCTCCTTCTCCACAGGCCTGAGACACTTTCAGAGCCTGTCTCTCCCTCCACAGGTCCAGGAACCCTGGCAGCAGCAGGCCCCTCAGTGGCCAGACTCCTTTCCCATATGCTTGAGCCATCATCCCCAGAGCTGGTATCCCCTACCATTGGCCCAGGGAGCTCAGAAGCTGTGGGCACTCCCACATCCATGGAACCTCTAGCAGCCACAGGCCTCCCAGGAGTCTTCCTGCTTCCAGACAGACCAGGGACACAGTCAGAGAATGTCCCCTCCCTCAAAGACCCCAGCAGCCCCACAGCCATGGACACTCCTGTACTCTGTCTGCCTCCCAACAAGCCTGAGATGCCCCCAGAGCCAGTCTTCTCCCCCGTGGGCCCAGGCATCCTTGTGGAACCCTTTGCATCTGCAGGACTACCTTCTGTCTCTCTTTCTCCCAACAAGTCTGAGCCGGTTTCCTCCTGCATAGGCCTAGGCACCCCACTAGCTGCAGACAGCCCCACAGTCCCAGGCATTCCTGCAGTTTGCTGCCTCCCCGACAAGCCTGAGAAGCCTCCACAGCCAGGCCCCAGCTCCAGAGAACCAGGCGTCCCAGGAGCCAGGAGCACGTCAGTGGCCACAGGGGCCCCGACCCTCTGTCTCCGTCCCCAGAGTCCTGCGATACCCCCAGAGTCAGTCTCTTCCCCAAGTCCAGGCTCCTCAGGCACCACAGGAACCCCAATAATCTGTCTCCTTTCCCATGGGCCTGGGAAAGCCCCAGAACCACTATCCTCCCCGCCAGACCACAGCTCCTCCCGAGCCACGGGTCCTCCTGAAGCCACAGATAACCTGGCAGCCTGAGCCCTTTCCCACAGGTTCGAAATGTCTCTAGAGCTGCCTTCTTGACACACAGGGCCAGACGCCCACACAGCAGCTGGCACTCTGGCAGGCACCTTTCCACAGCCTGGAGCACTCATCGCCATGGGGACCCCTGCTGCCACACACCTGTGCTGGGTCCCACCTGCTGCCCTGAGTATGCCCATTGTCTCAGATACCCCCACGGCCTGCCTCCTCCCACACAGGCATGAGGCATCTCCACAGTCAGCCTCCTGATCCACAGACCCAGGGATCCCTAAAGCTGAACGCCCCAGACTCTCTGGCTCCCCTACAGCCTGCCTCCTTTCCCACAGGCTCAGGACATTCCTACCATCGGTCTCCTCTTCAAGCCCAGGCACTGCCTCAGCTGGGGGCCCCCCCAGAGCTTGCTGTCCATCCCACAGGCCCAGGGCCCTGCTGTGGCTCAGCTCGTCTCCCAGGGCTCCCGGTACCACCACAGCCTGGGGCACCCCTACCGGCTGTCCCGCTCCCCACAGCCCTGGGAAACTCACAAAGCCCATGTCCTTCTCCAAGGCCCTGGGTATCCCTGTATCCTGCTCTATCCCCCACAGGCCTGCCGCCTGCTCCCCAGGACATGACGGCTCTGCAGTCTGTGCAGCTCCCCGTGACCCTGGGTCACCCCTAGAGCCTGTCTCCACCCACATAGGCTGTCCCCTTTCCCTGAACCCTGGATCACCTCCATATCTAGTTTCCTCTTCAGTAACACAAGGCACCCCGACAGAGTGTCCTGTGCCCCACAGGCGGGGGATACCCACAGAGCCTGTCTCCTCCACAGCCTGTCTCCTGTGCCATACACCTGCGGCCCCCACAGAGGTAGGCTCCTCCACCACTGGGTCGAGCACCCCCGCAGCCTGTCCCCTCCCCCATACACCAGGGCTGGCCCCACAGACTGCTTCATGTGCCAGAGCCCCAGGAATCCGCGGAGACTGTCCTCTCCCCCATTGCCCTGCAGCACCCCCACAGCCGAGCTCTCCCTCCACAGCTCTGGGCGCTCCCACAGCACCAGGCCACCCCACGGCCCCAGACTCGCCCACAGCCTGTCCTTTTTCACAAGGGCCTGGGGTAATCCCATAGCCTAACTCCTCCCCAGCCGCGGGAACCCCCACAGCCTGTCCCCTCCACAGATGTGGGGCCATCTCAGAACTTGACTCCAGAGCCCCAGGCACACCCGCAGGAGGCGGCACCCTCCCCGCCTGTACCTGCCCACAGAAGCCTAAGGCTCTTTTGTAAGCTGCCCCTAAGCCCAGAGCTGTAGGCCCTGAGGGGGCCCGAGGGAACCCCCTTGCCTGTCCCTTCACCCAGGGCCCTGTAAGACCGCCATGGCTTGTCTCTACCCAGGAAGCTCGGCCAGGAACACCCCTTTCGACGGGTCCTTCTCCTGCAGGCACGGGATGGAGCTCGACTCTACTTCCTTCCCCACATCCCGAGGCGGCTCTCATAGCCTGCACCTTCAGCCACAGGTGAAGAATGCTCTCATGGCCCAGAGATCCCGGGCGACCTTTTCTTTCGCAGCCCCGGGGACTCCTACCTTCGGTCTCCTCCTCGCCAGACCCGGTCACCCACACAGCCCCGGCAGGCCCCACCACCTCGGGCTCTCCCACAGCTCCGTTCACCCACACAGCCCCAGGGTCCCTTGCAGCCTCGCTGGAGCCTGCGGTCCCAGGAGCTCCCGGAACCTCATTCGCCCCGGCGGCGTCGTTGGTCTCCGCAGCTTGTCTCCTCCCCCACGGCCGCCGACAGCCCTGCGGCCTTTCTGCACTCACACAGCGCGTCTCCCGCTCCGAGAACCTCGCCCGGCGCCTTGCTCCACGGCCTCGGGAGGTCCCCGCGCCCCGTCTCTTCCCCCACGGCCGCCGAACTCCCCTCCCCGACCTGCTGGGCCCCACGCAGCGACCCGGCATCTTAGCCGCTGGCTCGCCCCCGCGCAGCCTGGGCACGGCCCCTCGGCCGGTCGCCCGGCTCATAGCTCCAGGGCAGTTCCCTCTCTCCCCAAGGCGGCCCTGGGGGTTGCCTTAGCACCTCGCTCCCTAAGCTGCTCCACACACGCACTCACACACGCAGCTCCCGCCTCGCAGCCTTTCTCCCTCCCAGCCCCCAACCCATCCCACCCCCGCCCAGGCTCGGGAACCCGCCCCCAGTCCTGGGCCCCCCTAAAGCCTAGACGGCAGAAAAGGTAACTGGGGGGACAAAGCGACAAAGACGGTCTGGGTCAGGTCTCCTCTCCCCCAGCTTCAAGACTCAACGCAGCTTCCCAGAATCCCCCCGAGCCCCGGCCCGAGCCCACCTGGCCTGGGGCGAGACGCAGCTACTGGGAGGCGGGCAAGGGGGACCCCCAACTAGGCCGCGCTTCCGGCCGCCATCCCAGTCGCCATAGCAACAGGCGCAGGGAGGCTTGGGAGCTGTTGAAGCTCCTGAACTACTTAAGGATTCAGGTGTTGCAAGGCGGTAAGTTTCGCAGCCAGTGTCCATGGGGCCGGAGCTAGATTGGGGTAGAGGCCTGGGCTTGGGAGTGCAGCTAACCCAGAAAGAGCTGAGAAACGAGAGCAGAAAGCCATGCGGGTGCATTGTGGTCCTCAGAGGCTTCCGTACTCTACGGCGGCTCTGGCTCCCGTAGGCCCCGCCCCCTCTTGCCCACCCGGAAGCAGCCTCGCCCCGCCCAGTGGGCCCCGCCCGCCCGCCTGCCCGCCCGCCCGCCCGCCGCAGCCAGACGTGCGCTCCTCCAGCAGCAGTTCCACGTCGTGCCGATGGCCCACTACGAGGAGGTGAGTGTGTCCGGCTTCGAGGAGTTCAACCGGGCCGTGGAACAGCACAATGGCAAGACCATTTTCGCCTACTTTACGGGTTCTAAGGACGCCGGAGGGAAAAGCTGGTGCCCCGACTGCGTGCAGGGTGAGGCCGGGATTCCGGGGCTCCTGTACAGCGGAAACGGCAGGAAGGTGGAGGCTATGACCAGAAAGGGGGCTTAGTGGAGGCGGAGTGTCTTGATTCCAGACATCTGCGGGGCAATCTGATCTGTCCCCGTCTCCTCGTATAAAATCCTACCCTGCCCTGCCAAGAGCGCTCTTCTTTTTACCATTTTACCCGGATGATCTTGGAATCTAGTTCCTTAAAACTTCTCACCCTGTACTATTAGTGTCTTACAGAATGCGTGAGTTGGTCAGCAAATGCATATGCTTTCCATTGTTATGGGCGCGGTGGTGCAGGGGCAAATTTGGACTGGGATTTGGTCCTTACCCTTAATGTGGTTCTAAGACCAGAAGTGAACGCCTGACTTCTGCTGATCTCTTCAGCTAGCTGCAGGTTAAAGTCTGAGTATTTACCAAGACTGGGGGAAGGGGAAAGGAAGACTGTTTATTAGTGCTTGATTGTAGAGTTAACGGGTTTATCTCAACTTTTTTTTTTTTTAAAAGCTGAACCAGTCGTACGAGAGGGGCTGAAGCACGTTAGTGAAGGATGTGTGTTCATCTACTGCCAAGTAGGAGACAAGCCTTAGTAAGTGGCAATGTATACACTACTTCACAGGCATGCGCGAATTGTGAACTTATGCGGGAAGGGTCTCAGGGACTCGCCCAGTTTCTCTGTTACAAGGTTATGTCTGACAAGTTAAACAATTAGAAGCTATTAAATACAAATTTTAAAGCCCACTTGAATTAAGTAAGGGTAATTCAACGAATTTGGTCTGGTGTAACCCAGAACTTAGCTGGCTTTACTTTTGTATCTTAGTCACGCTTTAAAACTTTGCACGGGGTAATTAATAGATTAAGCCATAGTCCTCACGTTTTTTTAAGTGTCTGCAAGAATGATTACTAAAAAATATAGGGATATGTCAAATATTAAGCAAACTGTAATAAACCAAGTAAATTTTTTTCATGATCGCTTTGTCTTTTGGAATAGTTGGAAAGATCCAAATAATGACTTCAGAAAAAACTTGAAAGTAACAGCAGTGCCTACACTACTTAAGTATGGAACAGTAAGTATCTTTAAATATGCTGGGCCTTTAATTCACTGTCACAACTCTTTTAACTTGCTCTGGATCCAATGTTGTAAAGATCTGATATTGCATCTCAACTCCACTGCGGTTCAGAGTGCTCCTGAGAGTTCATTCCTGTGGCCAATCCCAATAAACTAATAATGTAAATATCAAGCTTTTAGGTCTTTTTCATGGTAAGTCACTGTTAACAAATTCTATAACCAGAAAGTAGGCTGATAATTCCTTAAAACACTTGCATCAACAGTTGTTTTCTATATAATTCATAATTCTGGTTAGAAAGGGCACCTCCTCTACTTCAGTCATGCCCCTGGGATCCTAAATTACAGAGTTGAGGGGAAGAGGGTACTGGGCTTGCTGTCTCCTGTTTTAGTCTGCAGAGCTTCCTGGCATTTGGGATTTAAGTCCCTTGAGCCAAGTATGTTAGTGATTCATCTTACAGCAAATATCTGCTTTCATAAAACTTGTTATAACTAGTTGATAGTTTCTAAATTGCAGAATTTCTGTCTTCAAAGATTAATGTCATTCAATGCAGAGCTCGTTCCACTCCTAATAATGTTTTATAGGAGTAGTTAAGATTTGACTGTTCTCTTACAGCCTCAAAAACTGGTAGAATCTGAGTGTCTTCAGGCCAACCTCGTGGAAATGTTGTTCTCTGAAGATTAAGATTTTATGATGGCAATCATGTCTTGATTTCCTGATTTTAGTATCAATAAACTGTATACTTGCTTTGAATTCATATTAGCAATAAATGTTTAAAAAAAAAAAAAACTGGCATGTGTCTATAAACAAAAGTGCTATTAAAATGCTCATGAACCCTTAGTTTCCCTGTAATATATCTTCAGAAGTAGCAGTAAAAGCTCAAAGGAATGTATTATTGAAAGTGACAGAAATGCCTAAAAGCCCCTAAAGGTACAGAGGACACCTTCCAAATCTCTAAAGAGATCCGGATCGAGGGCCCGGTGTGGTGGCTCACGCCTATAATCCCAGCACTTTGGGAGGCCGAGGCGGGTGGATCATGAGGTCAAGAGATCGAGACCATCCTGGTCAACATGGTGAAACCTCGTCTCTATCAGAAATACAAAAAATTAGCTGGGCATGGTGGAGCGTACCTGTAGTCCCAGCTACTCAGGAGGCTGAGGCAGAAGAATTGCCTGAACCCAGGAGGCGGAGGTTGCAGTGAGCTGAGATCGCGCCATTGCACTCCAGCCTGGGTAACGAGCGAAACTCTGTCTCAAAAAAAAAAAAAAAAGATCTGGATCTTTTAAATTCTATGCATCTGCAAAGCAACGGATATTCCTGAAACCCCTTCTTTGATTTTGGAATGTAGAACCTAACCTCACCACTGAAGGGAAGCACAGTACCTCTAATCCAGCCTCTGTTTAATTCAGGCAGTTTTGTTTCATTTATTAAAATACAGACTCCTGCCGGGCGCGGTGGCTCACGCCTGTAATCTCAGCACTTTGGGAGGCCGAGGCGGGTGGATCACGAGGTCAAGAGATCGAGACCATCCTGGTCAACATGGTGAAACCCCGTCTCTACTAAAAATACAAAAAATTAGCTGGGCATGGTGATTCACAGAGTCAGTCACACTGATTCTACCACTTACTAGCTGTGTAACCATAGGTAAGTTAAGTTACTCACCCTGTCCAAACCTCAGTTTTGTCTTCTATAAACAAGGTTCTGAGAATTCAAGGAAGCGCTTAACATAGCACCTGGTGTGTGGTACCTCCCAAATCAGTGTTAGCTTTCCCAAGTAAGCACAAGTACTTGAGGCTCCTCATCTTTGTTCTAAAGTCAACAGACCAATTAGTAGTTAACCACTAGTTGTCCTGTGATGACTAGGTCAAGTGAGGCCACAGTGATTCTTAAAGCCACCTTGCAAAGCAGGTATACAGGTATTTCCTTTCCTGCAGAATTTAAAGAACTTTTATGCAGTTTCTTTCTGGTGATTTAAAGAAGTCACTGACTCCGCTACTCTCACTACATAGATAAGAGTGGTAGAGTAGTTGATCTGAGACACAGGTTCCAGGAGATGGCCTTGCCCTACTATATGTCAGGAAGAGCTAGCCTTAGAATTTAGTATACTTGGTGGCCCATCCCTACCCCATGCCCCAATGCCTTCTTTATTTGGTCTAAAGCACCTAACTTTTCCATTCTTAATCAGCTGATTATACTAAATGCTTAAAAAAGAAACACCTTAAAATCCGTATGGAAATCAAAGTAGAACACTTCAGGTTTAACAGTGATGGTCTATTAACAATAAAGAGTTAGTTGGATTAAAAAGCACACTAAAGGTTCTAGGGGCTACCATAATAAAGCTAGATAGGAAGAGTTTCATTCTTTTTGTCTTCACTATACAGAAGAAATACATTATATATATATATGTCTTCAGAGCCTCGTCTGTATCCAGTGTTTCATTTTCCCGACGTGTTATTTTGCTGTTGCTGCTCTGCCAAGGCTTGCTGAAGGCGCATCCGCTTCCGGGAATAGTGCTGCCAGTGTAGAATCTGCTGTTCATCAATAAATTTCGCACACTGGGCATTCACCAGCTCCTTTCGGAAGTGTTCATATTGGAGCAGCTCTAACATGTGTAAACACTGAGGGTACCTGGGTTTAAGTTTATAAGTGAATGAACAACATAATTTAATAATGCCAAGGTCTAATTCAGTTATTTTCTTAAAAATGATCTTGTAGCCTACCATTTATGTAACATTAACTTAGTACACTCTAGTAGCATAGTCATCAAAAGTCAGTGTTCAGCAAAATTTTCAAGTGAGAAGGTTTAAGTTCAGAAGGATTAAATTAACTTGCTCAAGACTACAGAACACAGTAACTGGTAAGCAGAGTGAAAATTTAGGGACAAACCATGCTACTCCCTTCTAGTGGTTTCCAAGGTGAAGAACATGAACATATTTTAGTAACTGTGTTTAATTAATAGTTACTGGTTTTTCCATCAACAGTGATAAAAAGACAACTTTCAGTTTCAAAGAGGACTATGCATATACATTGTACTCTTCTCCACAGAGGTATACCAATTCTGAAATTAGGTATACTCTAGGATTGGACAAGTAAATATACTGTGGATACAGAAAGCCGAATTTCTGGCTGTCAGAAAAGGATTTATAGACAAGTAAAGGAACAAGGCTAGAATGAACCCTGTGTTACTGAGCTGGTATTGAAAACAGCATGTACTTATGGCTCTTAATATATAGAGACACAGACAGATATATATGTGTGTGCATGTATACACATACATACATATATAGAGTTCTTGAGCTTTGTTTACTGAGAGGGCCTAGAAGCAATGACACTGTGGCACTAACGAACACACAGTGCCCGGTTTCCAAGGAGCAGGTTTCCTTGAAGAAAAGTCTGATTCAGGGATAAGACAGGGAAAGGACAAGATAAGCCTAGAACATTACGTAATGCCAGAAGAAATAGTGCTAAAAATTCTTGGGAGGATCAAAAGTATTCAGGAGCCAACTTGAAGGGACTCCTAATGGCCAAATCTGGAATATTCAGAGCAAGAAAATACATAATTAAAATTCACAGAATAAAAATAAGAATCCGAAAGTCCATACTAAATGGATGTAAATTTCTTTAATAAAATAATAAGTAAAAAACAAGGAAAAGTACTTCCCTACAATCGAATTCCAAACTAATAAATGGAGAATGAAAGAATTAGAAAATCACCACAATGAAAACTGTTTCTTCAAAAGCAAGTATCTTCAAATGATGCTAAAATTAATGGGCAAAAATACATGTAATATGATATTTACATAGTCTCAAAGGATTTCCCCATAAGATACTTATTAAATATACAAGCAAAAATAGTAACTTGATATGGAGAAACCTAGAAGGTACCAGCCTCAACCAAGTTATCAAAATTAATATCACCAGTAGTGGAACAAATAGACTTCATGTGACTGTGGATATATGATGGATACAAAATCATTTTTGTCATAGTCATGGCAAAGGAAAGACCACTAGATTAAAGGAGACGATAAGAAAACATGACAATAAATGCAACATGCAGGCCTAGACTGGATCCTGTACTGCATACAGCACACCAGCAGGACAAGTGGCAAAATCTGACCTCTGTAGATTAGGTAATAAATTCATATTAATGTTCTGATTTTTGCTGATTGCATTGTTAAACATCTGGAATATCTGAGTGAAGAAAATACAGGAATTCTCTTTACTATTTTTTCAGGTGTTTTGTAAGTAAAATTATTTCAAGTTGACATAAAAGCATTTAAAAGAGACAAAATACAGTGAAATATAGGAAGTATGCAGATAAAGCCAAAGTTGTAGAAGTGCTATGCAAATGACTAAAGTTTGGAAAATAGGATGCTAGAGCAACACTTCTCAAACTTTAATGTGTGTATGAATCACTTCTTAAAATGCAGACTGACTCCTTAAGTCTGCAGTGGGGCCTGAGCTCTGCATTTCTAAATAGCTCCCAAATGGAACCAATGCTGCTGATCTGAACACCACACTGAATAGAGGGCTTAGTACCATGCTTCTAAGAGAGTAACTTCCAAGGTAGTAAAGGTTTGCTATCTACATACTAAAAATACACAGTTGCTCTGATTGCTGGCTGCTTATGCTACAATGCTCTATTCACACCTGCCCTGGCTAATTCCCTTTCATGGCAGCATGAGTAGTTAAAATGACCAGGATGTAAGTTCTAGCCGAGTAGCCTTTAACAAGGTACTTAACCTCTCTAAAGTTCAGCTTCTTCAGCTGTAAAATAACGTGACAACCAAGGGAAGTCTCAAGTAGCATTTGGTCAATAATTAGAATTTAGATAGGCAGTGTTTATATCAGAATATATTAGAAGACAAATAAAGAATCATACTCTGGATAGGCTACAAGTCAACAAGATGAAACAGAAGCAGTAGAAAAGGAAAGTTCTGCATTTGGTTGTGTTTTAAAAAATAAACAAGATAGGGAGAACTGAACAGCATTGATGAAAATAAGAATTGAAGGATTTTAGTTGACATTAATGCTGCCCCCAAGTCAACAATGTGATCCTCTCCCCACTCCCCACCCCAAAAGTAATATAAACGTAAGTTTAATTAATAGAGGTGTATGTCCACATAAAGAAAAGAAAAGACCTCTGGCCCACTGTACTCTGACCACATCTGAAGGCCTGTGTTTAGTTCTTGGCTGAACTGCATAAGGTACAACTGACAAATATCCAAAGGAGGGAACCTGAACTCATGAGAAGTCTGGGCACCATGGCACAATGGCTGAAGGGAGTTGAGAAAAAGAGATATAAGGGAGATGTTATAGTGGCAGCTACTAGTTAGCAATTAAGCAGGCCAAGTGGTAGAAAGTCTCTTCCACCAAGTGGAAAGCAGCTAGTGCTGACAGCTGCTCTCAGCTTCAGCCAGTTGTTGACTTAGAAGAATTAAGATCTATGGTTGCTAGATCCTACAGATTTTAAAGAGCATCTGGAAATCTGCATTTATTAAATAAAACTTTGTGATCTTTAAACGTTGGCAAGCATTAAAAAAAATTTTTTAAATAAAATCTTGCACAGACTAAATAAAATGTCCAAAATGGGCTAATTTGCAATCTCTCTTGAATGTAAATATCTAAAAAGCTGTTGTCCTCAAGAGGGTATAGAATGATTCTAGCTTGATCCAGGGACAAACAGACTGAAGCTACAAGGAGGTATATTATATCACAACATAAGGAAGAACTTTATAACTTCTGGCTAACAATCGAATTAGCTGCTCTTGACAGAGTAACATGGGATCAATGGAAACTTCCAAACAGTGTAGATAACCATCTCTCAGCAACACTGTGGATAAAATTAAACTTACTGGTGGCTAAGGCTTCCAACACTGAGTCTGTAAATCTACATATATACAATATTTGTTGAAATACACTATTTAAAAAGTCTTTTCTTTGGATTATTAAATGGATAAAAAGCCAGAAAAGATACAAATGGTCCTGCAGGCAACACAAGATGTATATGCTTTGCGAGTCAACTGCTACTGCATATAGATAAGTGACTTCAAGACAAGTTGGAAACATTTTCCTCTCAAATTTTTGTTTAAAAAAAAAAAAGTTCACTACTGCTTTCTGACTACCTGCTCAAGACAAATCAAGAGTGTGAGTTCAAGGTGTAGTTTTTTGTTTTTTTACCATTAAAAGGGAATCGCTTTCTGGTTATAATATGGTTCTTGCAACTTAGTAAGCTTTAACAGGAAAGTGTCTGCTGAACAACCTGAATGGTAAACATACATATACACACAAATGAGTAAATGCATGTGAAGTATTTAGCACTGTTCTTGGCACACAAAAGGCCTTAAAGAAAAGATAGCAGCTCTAAGACTCAGGTAAGACTCCTCCAAATAACCCCAAACACCTTCCTTACAGATACCCTCTTTTTGTGTTCTTAATTTCAGCCCACGGTTATGTCATTACATTTACAGATTGTGAATTCTTCCGGATCAGAAACCTGGGGAGATGGGGAGGTTGGTAAAAGACAAGGTCAGACAAAGCAGAGCCAGATCATAGAGGGGTTTAGCCCAAAAAAGAGAGACTGGATTTTATTCCCCATGGAATGCAAAGCCATTGAAAGGTTCTAGGCAAAAAAGTAAAGTGTTCTGATTTACATTTGTAAGTGATTAAGTTGGCTTCTGTGTAGAAAGCTGTTTTGCTTTGTTTGGTTTGCGGGAAGGGGCAGGGGAGCAGGAAGGTAAAAGTGGAAGCAGAGATAACCAGGGAATAGATTACTGCAGTGATACAAGTTAGAGATGAGGGTGTCTTGTATTAAGGTGGCAACAACTAAAAGAAGTGGAGAGATTCAAAATACATTTTTGCCAATGTGAAACCAAGAAATCTATTACATAATAAAGTATACACAGGCTTAGGATTATAAAAATTAAACTTACTTTAGATACTTGGCATATTCTGGGTCTTTCCAGTAAAGCAAGTATTTAAGATAATTAACAAAAGCTTTGTCTTTGAAGTAACCTCTTTGGGCAAGAACTGAAAAGCATTAAAAGAAAAAGAAAAGAAAATCTGTAGGTCAAACCAATTCTTAAACTATGATTTGTTACCCCTAATATAAAGGATCTATTTACATAACACTCCCGCCACCAACACACATCGGATTCAAAACACAAGTCCCAATGTGCACAATTACATCTATAAACCAGCATAAGTGTAATTTCATTTCATTGAGAATGTGTACAAGGAGATACTATTTTGAATTGCAACTCTTCTGTCAGAAATTAATAGCTACTCAATTTAATGAGGTGCTTAACGACTTACAATTAAGGTAATTTGGGTTGGCTAAACATTGCACAAATTCCAACTCCAATTGAAACCGAAGTCGATTTCCAGCATCATCTAGGAGACAAGACAGCAAAAATCATCGACAATAAAGGTCACTGTATATAATACTGATTTGTGGTAAGGAAAGAATAAAGAAACCTGACTAATATTGAGATGGTCTTCCCAAACTGGGAGTGGGTGGAGAGAAACCTTTCTTCGAAATCTAAGAAAAGCAGAGCCTTGGTTAAAAGGATTACGTTAGAAGTTTCTCTAAAGTTAAAGATAAATCATCAAAGAAAACAGCCACACAAACGGAGCAGAATTCCTACCCACTCGTGGGCCACTTTGCAGAAATTTTAAGGGATCACTTAGGTAAGCTGTAGTAACTGTGGCTTCCCCTATTTTAATAATGCGTTGTAACCATTGTTAACAGTGATTAAGTTTAGCAAAAGCTACGTGCTGAATCCGTTAAGAAAAACTTAGGATGCAAGCTGAAAAAGAGACTGCAGAGAGCCTAAAAGATCGTGGAGCGTATGCATATGTGAGAAGCACCAGCGGCAGAATGATATACAAGTCTAGCGACGATATTTCAAACACGAAAGCTCGTGAGAAGCAGAAAACCAGTCAAGGAGGACAAGGTTTAACACAAATCCTCTCTTAATCTCGCCCACGCTGGGGAGCTGGTGGTTTTTGAATAGCAAAGATGTGGAATAAACCAAATTAGGAGAACTACGAAAAGTACCTTAGCCTTCTAGACGCCACAAGAGCTTTCTCTCCTCCCTGTCCAAATACGAACCCTGCAGAGTGAGGCCTGAAAGGAAGCCCCGGGGAAGCGGTCTGGACCTAGGAGAGTTCCATCTGCGAAGACGCCAGGTTCAGAGAGCTACTCACCTGTCTCCATAGCGACGGCGGCGGCCATAACAACCAGAGACACCAACTCGCCACCAGCCCGACAGAGCAAACGCCCAGAGTGGCGAGGGAAGTTCCGGAAACCACGGCTCCCGCTTCCGGTCTCGGGGCATTGTGGGATGTGAGACCGGGAGACTCCACCCATCCCGGCCCGCTCTATGCCCGCTGGCTCCCGAACAGCCAGGGGGCGGGGGCAGGGCCGTGGGAGCGACCGAGGGGCAGGAGCCGTGTTTTGGCCTTCGAAGGACCGTGGTGCTTCCACGTCATCGTGTTGTGGCGCTCCCCTCTGTGGCAGTACAGTTGTTTTCCTTTCTTCTGCCTGCAGTGACGGTTGGTGTGTGGGGTACCCAGAGGCCTCCCTGGTCCCCTCACCCCTGGCAGAATGGCCTCAGCCCAGGGAGCAAGCACTCTTCGCCCTGGTGGAGACCGCCCGCTACGCAGAGACGTCCACGGTCCGCGTGGAGACGTCGTCCCGATGGGTGGAGACCTCACAGGGCCGCAGCGAGGGGCCTTCCCTCTCCCCGTCAGGAAAGTGGCTCCCTGGCGTCCTCGAGGCGTCCTCCTGGCACCTGGAAGCCTCCTCGAAGCGCATGGAAACGACCTCCCGCCACGTCAGGGACCCTGCGGGTGGAGACGTCTCTGCACCGCGCGGAGAGCCCGGCCCAGCGAGCCAGGCCGGCCGCCCCCCAGAGAGAAAAAAATAGCCTGATGAGATGCTGCTTCCCAAAGGCCAACAAGGGGCCAGGGCCCTCAGCCCGGACAGACAGGCCTCCAGTTGCCAGCCAGCCAGCTGCCAGGTGGACCAGTCTTTTTCGGTTTCATGGAAACAGCCCAAAAATCGATGTAAGAAACAGCTAAGCTGCGGTTCCTGAACACAGCCAACGTTTTTTGACCATCCTGCGGCGTCTTGGACCAGTCGGCTTTTAACCCAGTGAATTATATTCACTTGAAGCCAACACAAACGGTTTTCAGGCCCAGGATGCTATATAAATCGGGTTGATGGACAAAGAGGCTGTTTCAGCCTCTGAGTAAGGTGAGTTTGGGATCCAAAGCCCTCAGATGACCTTCACCCCTTAGGAACAGAGACCAAACTGAAATCATGACCTGTGGAATGATTCCATGCCTGCTAACAGCTTGAGAGGCAACAAACAGACTCATAAATTATTAATTGGTCTTTGTTTACGTTTCAAAGTAAATGGTTTTCTTTTACCTGGCACTCCCATTCACACACTTTTTTTTTTTTTTTTTTTGAGACGGAGTTTCGCTCTTGTTACCCAGGCTGGAGTGCAATGGCGCGATCTCGGCTCACCGCAACCTCCGCCTCCTGGGCTCAGGCAATTCTCCTGTCTCGGCCTCTTGAGTAGCTGGGATTACAGGCACGCGCCACCATGCCCAGCTAATTTTTTTTTTTTTGTATTTTTAGTAGAGACGGGGTTTCACTATGTTGACCAGGATGGTCTCGATCTCTTGACCTCGTGATCCACCCGCCTCGGCCTCCCAAAGTGCTGCGATTACAGGCTTGAGCCACCGCGCCCGGCCTCACACACTTTTTTAAGGTAGGTTAGATGTAGTTAAAAATGATAGCAAACCCACCAGCAAGCAAAAATAATCTTAGAAGAGAAAGTGAAAGAGGTCATTGAAACCTGACCTGAAGTTTGAAGAAGATGGACAAGAGTCACATTTACTGAGTACCTGCTCTGTGCCAGGCACTACAGATGTTCCTCCACTTACGATGGGGTTACCTCCCAATAAACCCATTGTAAGTAGAAAATATGATAATTTGAAAATGCACTTGCTATCTACAACCTACTAAACATCGTAGCTTAGTTTACCCTACCTTAAACATGCTCAGGACACATTAGCCTAAAGTTGAGCAAAATCATCTAACAGAAAGCCTATTTTATAATAAAATGTTGAATATCTCATGTAATTTATTGCTTACTGTACTAAAAGTGAGAAACAATGGTCGTATGAGTCTTAAAGTAGTATTTCTACGGAATGTCGCTTTTGTACCATTGGGAACTGTCTGTGTTCTGGGAACTTGGACTATAGCAGTAAAAAAGGTAAAGACCCAACTCTAGTGGAGCTTACCGTGGTGAAAAGGCAGACAGGCAATGATGAAACGAGACAATTTGCTGCTGTGATTAGCACTATGAAGGAAATATATGGGTAATGTGGTAGAGAATGGAATTAAGACGTTTCTTTTGATAAAATGGTCAGGGAAGGCCTTACTGATTAGGTAACATTTAATCTGAGATGTGTGTGAGTGATCTGGAAAGGGTGCATTCTAGGCAGAAGGAACAACAAATACAAAAGATGGATGGAACAAGTTTTGAATGTTCAAGGAACAGAAAGAAGGCCAGTGTGGCTGGAATGAGAGAGGGGCAATTATATATACATGGAAGCAGAATGAAGACAGGAGATTAAAAGCAAGCAGGGGCCAGTCCACAGAACGTCCTCTAAGCCACAGTAAGGAGTTTGAGATTTATTCTAAGGTCAACAGGAAAATATTGGAGGGTTTCCAACAGGGGAATGGCATGATGCCATTTACATTTTAAAAATATCCTTCTGGCTTCTGTGTGTAGAATATGGAACAGTGGTTCTCAACTAAGTGTGATTTTGTCCCCCAGACGATATGTGGCAACGTCTAGAGACATTTTAGTTTGGTGGAAAAGTTGGGGGGCGGTCCACAGAAGGTGCTACTAGCACCTGGTGGGTAGAGGCCAGGGATGCCACCTCACATCCTACAGTGCACAGGTCAACACCCCACTCTCTGCCAACAACGAAGAACCACTGGTCCCAAAATGTCAATAGTGCCGAGGCTGAGAAACACTGACAGTTCTAGCAGTTTGAAAAGCTAGAGCATGGTCCACAGGGGCAGCACCCCACTTCTGCATATCAGGATTGTAGTGAGACCTAAGAAACAGTCATGGAAGAAGGTTACCTCTAAAGTTAAAAAGAATTCATCAAAGAAAACAGCCACACAAACGGAGCAGAATTCCTACCACTCGTGGGCCACTTTGCAGGAATTTTAACAGTGATCAATAACTAAGGTAGGCTGTAATGACTGTGGCTTCCCCTATTTTAATAATGTGTTGTAACAATTGTTAACAGTGATTAAGTTTCCCAAAATCTACGTGCTGAATCTGTTAAGAAAAACTTAGGATGCAAGCTGAAAAAGAGACTGCAGGAGCCTAAAAGATCACGGAACATATGAATATATAAGAAGCACAAGTAGCAGAATGATACACAAGTCTGGCAACAGTATTTCAAACTTATGCAAGCTCATGTGAGAAGCAGAAAGCCAATCAAGGACACGCTTTAAAACACAAGGAGGACATGCTTTAAGACACAACTCCTCTCCCTTAGTGTTGCCCACGCCGGGGAGCTGGTGGGGTCGTTTGTGACTAGCAAAGATATGCAAACAAACCAAATTAGGAAAACTGCAGAGTACCTTAGCCTTTCTAGACGCTCCAAGAGCCTTGTCTCCTCCCTGTCCACATACTAACCCTGCAGAGAGTGAGGCCTGGAAGGAGGCCCCCGGGGAATCGGGAGAAGCGGTCTGAGCTGAGGAAAGGTCTATCTGCGAAGACTCCAGGCTCAGAGAGCTACTCACCTGTCTCCATAGCGACCGCCGCGGCCATAACAAGCTGAATCAACACCACCCCAACAAAGCAAAAGCCTAGAGGGGCGGGAGAAGTTCCGGAAGCCACGGCTCCCTCTTCCGGTCCCGGGGCATTGTGGGATATGGGGGCGGTGGCTCCACCCATTCCCGGCCCCGCCGGCTTGGCCCACCGCTAGGGTTCAGTGCCCGACTGTGGGAACGCCGGAGGAGCAGGAGTCCAGGGAGGCAGAGAATTTTACCCTCAAATGGAGCGAGTCCCGGCCGGGCGCGGTGGCTCATGCCTGTAATCCTAGCACTTTTGAGAGCCTGAGGCGGGTGGATCACGAGGCCAGACCAGCTTGGCCTAGATAGTGAAACCCCATCTCTACTAAAATGCAAAAACTAGCCGAGCTTGGTGGCGTGTGCCTGTAATCCCAGCTACTCGGGAGGCTGAGGCAGGAGAATTGCTTGAACCCGGGAGGTGGAGGTTGCAGTGAGCCGAGATCGCGCCACTGCACTCCAGCCTGGGAGAAGAAGCGAGATTCCGTCTCAAAAAAAAAAGGGGTGGTGTCGGGGGGAAATGAGTCCCAGAGTCTGGCACAAGACTAATGTGCAAAGCTAGTGGAATGAATTCGGTAGCCTATATATACCTTCCTCAAGCGCCACGGCAGACTGGGTCTCCTTGCCTACTTCACCCTCTCCTGCAATCCAATTTGTGAGGCGTGTGTGTGTGTGTGTGTGTGTGTGTACGCGCGCGCGCGCACGCGCCCACGCCCGCCCTTGCCTTTAGTTGGAGGTTGGCTTCCCAGCCATCCAGACTTGCCCCAAAGTCCGTGGTACCCGCGTTCATAACTCCTTCCCCAACCTCGCCTGCCTGCTGTACCAGGCTTTGATTCCTTCTTCCTGTGTGTTTTGGACAGAAAACACGCAGGTGGCACACAGTAAGCGCTTAATAAATGTCCCGGCTAAGCGATCTCCTTTGAATTGAGGGGATGCTCCTGTGCGCCCCTCGTTGCACAGAGCTCCCTTGTCTGTAACCTCAGCGGTCACCGGAGCGGCCATCGGTGCTCTCAATTTCTGTATTTTAAAAAGCCGTTTCAAGCGCTAGCGCTGTTGGATCTCTGACTTTTGGGGCTTTATCGCCTGGGGTGGAGTGGGTGGTGAGAGGGAAGGGATGGGAAGCCAAGACAGGAGAACACTCCCGATTTCCCGACCCGCATCCCATCATGTATCATATCAACCTGGGGTTCTACCGGGTTCTGTTATGTTTTTTCTTCCACCAACCCCAAATTCCCAGCACTGGTCCAGCTCTCTCTCAGTTCCCCAGATCCAGATGTCAGTCCCAGGGAACTTCAAGGAAACTTGCCCGAATGAGGTCCGCCCCTCTTCCCACCTCCCAGACCTCTCCTCCTGCCTCCCCTGGTGTCACCCGCGCCTCCTCCCTCGCTTCACCTCCCTCTAAACAAGAATCCGGCCCAGTCAGTTCTAGACCCTGAGCATCTCCCGCTTCCTTGCCCAATATCCGCCCCGCCCCCGACCGCCCACGTCCCGTGGAACCTGCTGAGCCCTGCTCCCCGCATCCCCACGCCCTTGCTCCGAGCTTCGGAGAAAGAAAATGCGCTCGGAGCAGGTGGCCCCGCAACTCCACGGTGAGTGAACGGAGGACGGAAGGTGGAAAGGCGCACTCCTTCCTCCCTTCTTCCCTCCCTAGGGTGGGCAGCTGGTGGCACACAGTAAACGCTCAATAAATGTTCCCGCTGCTCGATCTCCTTGGAATTCAGGGACGCTCCTGAGCGCCTCTCATTCCACACAGTTCTCGTGCCTGGAAACTCTGCGGTCGCCTGAGGAGTTGTCGGTCCTCCTGCTTTCTCGATTTTAAAAGCTTTTCACACCAGCGGCCTCGCCACCTCTGCTGCAGACCTTCCAAACCCTTCTGAAGCCAGCAGGATTTCTCCGTAATTCACTCCCGCTGCTTAACACGTTTGAATGGCTCCCGCATGTTCTCGGGACCAAATCCAAAGCCCTTGGGGCCACCCGACCTGCTGACCCCCCACACCTGGGCTCTGAGCTCCAGCTGGCCTTCCCTTCCCCTCTGTTCTGTCCCTGCCTGGCACGCCTCTCCCCTGCCTACCCTCTCACTATTCCTGGCTGAGCCATCCCCACCTCCAGGTCTCCGGGAAGGCTGTCCCCAGGCCGGTGGGGCCCCTGCAGGGCCTCAGCCACGGGGGAGGGGGTCGCACAGCGAGAATTGCCACCAGCACGTCCCGGCTTCAAAGCGCTCTTGTCCAGGGCATGGCTCCGGGTTCCCAGCGCCCAGCCCAGGGCTTAGCACAGTCAATGACCACAGGGAAGAGAAAGTGAAGGAAGGAGCAACCCTTCTACCTGCTGCCCCCGTCCCCTCAGAACCGAGTCCTCTCTCTCTCCTCCTCCCTCCCTCCCTTCGCGCCGCTTTTTCAGAGGCTCCGAGGAAGGGCGTGGCCGCTGGAGGGCGCAGGGCTTAGCCGAGCGCCCCGTAGCCAAGCCCCACCCAGGCTGAGCCTCTGCTGCCGTCCGCAGGACCAAAGTCAAGGTGGAACTACCGGAGTACCTAGGGCCGCTGTTGTGTGTAAAACTGAGCAAAGGCCTGGTTCTGCAGCTGAAGAAGAAAGAAAGAAAAGAAAGAGAGAGAAAGAAAGAAAGAGAAAGAAAAGGGGGAGGGAGGGAAGGAAGGAAGGAAGGCAAAGAAGTTTAACCAGGTTCCACATGGCTGGGGAGGCCTCGCAATCATGGTGGAAGTCGAAGGAGAAGAAAAGGCACATCTTACATGGTGACAGGGAAGACAGCGTATGAAGGGGAGCTGCCCTTTATAAAACCATCAGATCTCCCAGGCACAGTGGCTCATGCCTGTAATCCCAGCACTTTGGGAGGCCAAGACAGGCGCATCACCTGGGGTCAGGAGTTTAAGACCAACATGTCCAACATGGTGAAACTCCAACTACTAAAATTATAAAACTTAGTTGGGCATAATAGTGAGTGCCTGTAATTCCAGCTACTCAGGAGGCTGAGGCAGAAGAATTGCTTGAACCCAGGAGATGGAGGTTGCAATGAGCCAAGACTGTGCAACTGCACTCCAGCCTGAGTGACGGAGCAAGAATCTGTCTCAAAAAAAAAAAAAAAAAAAAAAAAAAATCAGATCTCATGAGACATATTCACTATCATGAGAACAGCCCAAGATAAACCCACCCCCATGATTCAGTTACCTCCCACTGGCTCTCTCTCATGACAAGTGGGGATTATGGGAGCTACAATTCAAGATGAGATTTGAATGGGGACACAGCCAAACCGTATCAAAAGGTAAACAAATTATCCTTATTCTCAGGCAACATGATCATCTATGTAGCAATTCCCAAAAAATCTACAAAAATACTCAGAAAACTAATAAGTTTAGCAAGATGGCAGGATACTAGCAAAGAACAACTGAAAACCAAAATATAAAGAAAAATATTTAAAATAGGTCTAAAAAATTATTAACTTAGGCATGTAATCTGACAAAAAATGTGTATAAGATCTGTATGCTGAAAACTACAAAATGTTGATCAAAGAAATGAGAGAAGACCTAAATAAATGGGAAGACATACCATGTTTATGAACCAGAAGACTCAATGTGAAGATGTCATTTATCCTCCAATTGATATATAGATTGAATGCATTCAGTCAAAATTCCAGAACTTTTGGTAAGTATTGACAAGATGATTCTAAAATGTATGTGGAAAGACAAAAGAACTGGAATAGCCAAAATAATTTTGAAAGCACAATTTTGGAGGAATCACACTGCCTGGTTTTAAGGCTTACTATAAAGCTAAGTAATCAAGACAGTGTGGTATTGGTGAATGAACAGATCAACTGAATACAATAGACAGTCTAGAAATAGATCCGCATGTTATAAATATGGCCAGTGGATTCTTGCCAAAGGTATGAAGGTAATTCATTGGAAAAAGGATAATTTTCTGAATACATGATGTTGACACCACTGGATATCTTTATATAGACACATGAACTCCAAGCCACATTTCACACTTTACACAAAAATAGGTTCAAAATTAATTATAAATCTTAATGTAAGACTTTTAGAAGAAAACAAAGAAAACCCTTGTGACTTTATCCTTATTCTCAGGCCACATGATCATCTCTGTGGCAATTCCCAAAGAATCTACGAAAATAACACCAAAGCATAAGCCATGAAAGAAAATGTCAAACATTATCAAAATTTGGGCCGGGTGCAGTGGCTCACACCTGTAACCCCAGCACTTTGGTGGGTGGATCACTTGAAGCCAGGAGTTTAACACCAATCTGGTGAAACACCATCTCTACTAAAAATACAAAAATTAGCTGGGCATGGTGGTATGTGCCTATAATCTCATCTACTTGGGAGGCTGAGGTGGGAGAATTGCTTGAACCTGGGAGGCAGAGGTTGCAGTGAGCCGAGACTGTGCCACCACACTCCAGCCTGGGTGACAGAGGGAGACTCTGTCTTAAAAAAATTTTTTTTTAATGTTCTCTATGAAAGACACTGTTAAAAGAAAGCAAAAAGACAATCTCAGACTGGGAAAAAATATTTATAAGTTACATCCAACAAAGGATTTGTATACAGACTATAAATAACTTTCAAAACACTGCAGAAAGAGAAACCCAATTTTGAAATGGGCAAAAGACATTTCACTAAAAGAGAGTATACAGATAGAAGATAAGCTCACAAAACGATGCTGAGCATCATCAGCTATTAAGGAAATGCAAATTAAATCACAATGAAGACACTCAAGTGATTTAGATGTTAGGTAGATATAAGAATTCTTTGATAAATAGTTGGGGTTTTTTGTGCTCCAGGAGCTTGGAAGAACTTGCAGTCATTTATAATATTGT